TACCTCTGCAGAACAAGAACTATTAATTAAAGAATATGCAGTTCTTCTCTTACATTTTTCCTCTCCAAAACAAGAACTAGTAACTGAAAACATATTATCACTTTCATTGCTACACTACCTGTGCAGAACAAGAACTATTAACTAAGGAACATGTCGCACTTTTTGATATGCTTTACCTCTGCAGAACAAGAACTATTAATTAAAGAATATGCAGTTCTTCTCTTACATTTTTCCTCTCCAAAACAAGAACTAGTAACTGAAAACATATTATCACTTTCATTGCTACACTACCTGAAAAAGTGCGACATGTTCCTTAGTTAATAGTTCTTGTTCTGCAAGAAGTTGAAAAGCCATTAGCATCATGGTTAACAAGAATGTCCAGAAAGGGAATAGAGTTATTTGTCTCAATTTCATGATTGAAGTGTATAGAGGGGTGTTGTGAATTGAGATAGTCAAGAAATAGTTGGATATGATAAATATGGCAGAAAATAAGGAAAGTATCATCAACATACCTTCTGTGGAGGATAGGTTTGAAGCTTAACAGACAGTTCTGTTTGTAATGACAGAGAAAAATGTTGACCATCGTAGAACCCAGTGCGGAGCCCATAGCAACGCCATATATTTTTTCATATAGAGTATTGTTAAAGAGGAGAAGATAATTATTATATCTCTCTCTCTCTCTTTCAGGTATTGTGCTCATCAGTTTCTTCATTTATCTTTTTATAACTTGTATAATTTATTGTTGTTTAACTCCTTTAACTTCTTTCACATCATTTTCCAGTTTTTTGTATCCATCTTTCTCTGTAATTAGCTCTCCAACTTATATGCTTCCAAGTTTCTTCACTTCTATTATGTTCAAATTTTGTACCTTTATTTATTTCTGTGGTTTAATCTTCCCTAGCAATTTTGAATTTGCAAATCAGTAATTCATGTGACAACCACAACTGGTATAAAGTTGAACTGGAACAGGACGTATCAGAATTACATTTTGTAGGTAGTTTGATGCAATAAAAAAGTTGATTGCTTTTGGGAAGTGTATGTAACAACCCTTTCCAAAACAATATTCATAGATCGAGATCATAAAGATGTGTTCAGGTTGGAGATTTAGAATTTCTGAGAATTCATTTCTTGATTATACTCTATATTTGTGGTAACCCAATTTTTTATGTCTATAGAGCAGGATTAGGACCTAGAACCTATTGCTCTACAAGTGAGTGCTCTACCCACTGAGCTCTAGGCTTAACTCACAAGCAGTTGCTAGTGAGGCACATTTTAGTTTTTTTTAAGAACTCAAACTACCACATTCTTTCCCTCATAAATCAAATCCATCTTTGGGACAGCATATTACAGTAATTGATAACCCTACATTAAATGTCAGTTTTCTCATAGTAATTTCGATTTTTTTTTTCATCTTCCTCATACTGGAGCAAGCTAGTTAAAAGCACCTCTGTGTTCAGTGTTTCTAGAAGTGGGAAGCTGCTAGAATTAACTGTAGTTGAGGTTTTCCTTCATGAGTGTGAGAAAAGCTAAGAAACATTAGTTTTACAAAACTAATTCCAGATCAGTGAGAATGTTTAGTATCTATCTTTTTATTTAGTCTGTTTTTGAATATGTCATGGGATGCTAAGATATGTATTTTGCATGATATTGATTTTGTTAATTAAGTTTGGGTTTCCCCAATTTATTAACAAATTATATATATATGTACCCAGTTTTTAAATATATTAGACTGCAAGTTCACAATACCCTAGAGTAGAGAGGTTCTATTTTTAAATTTTTAGAATACATCACTTCTGGCTTTATTACAGATCTAGTGAATTAAGAGAAGTTATTTCCCATTTTTAGTGACAATAGTCTTCTAGTAAAAATAAACAAACAAAAAAATGTGGGTTATTTCTTGTTTGCTTAAATATCTGATTTAACTACAAATTGCAATTTCCCTAACTATATTAAAGGTTAAACTTTAAAATGTCATCTTATGGCAAATAGAATTCTGGTTATTTGTTTCTTTTTATTGCTTTCAGAGTGTTAGAGATACAGTTGTTCATTTCTTCATGGTGTTTTGTATTTTTGTGGCATCTACACCTACACTTATATCTGACCACACTTGTTGCTGCCTGAGGCTTGTAACATGATATTTCAGTATGCATTTAGTCAGCAATTAATTAAATACCACAGTAATAGAAGGTTCTGAACTTATTAAGTAATAAACATCAACTGAAGAGACCAACCCAATGTTTACAATAATTATAACAATTGTTAACTGAACACACACTGTGCCATAAATGTATGTTTTCACACTTACAAACTATTTATTCCTCTTTATGCGGTGGTTATTGTCTCTCTAACTCTAGCTGCTGTACAGCATCTTGCACTAGAAGCACTGGATTTTCTAAAAGTTTATGTGAAAGAGAGAAATGTTTCTGCTCTTAGAAAGTATATTAATTGTAAGCTCAATAGATTTTCCCAAAAAACCTTCTACCACAGCCATGACTTTAGTTAACTGATGGTAACAACATTAATGTCCACTCACATGCATTATATTACACTAACTCTTTTTTAAAACCAATTTCAAAGGTTGGTCAATCAGAACAAACGTTTCATAATAATCTTCAATCAAGATTAAAAAATCTTTTAGGATCATGTTTAACAAAGACTAGCCGAAGATCTGTTTGAATGCAAACTTTTAATCAAATGTAGAATGCCTGTATGAAAAAAAAAATTACATTAATAAATCTGAATAACTACGTTCAGTTTCTAAGGTATAAAAAAGTAAAATCCATAGCACTTGTGTGCAACAGGAAAATCAGAATTCTCTGAGAAAAACAGTTGTGAGGACAAATATATGTAGGTGACAAATGTAATACTTCTTTTAGGCAGTTATTTAGGCCTGTAAAGCACATACACAATTAAGCAAACTTTATTTTTATTTAGCTTATAAAGTAATTAGGGTTTGTAGTATGAGTGAAAATGCACAGCTAAATGATGTGTAATTGTGGTTAAATGTTTCCTAAATTTTAGGGCTATGTTATTCAAAGAAGATAGCAGATCTAAAACTTATAAAGTTATGAATCAGCTGTTTGAATTCTTAAGAAAATTACTTGTAGCTTTTAACCCTAAAATTACTGATGAGGTCCATACTCTCTTGATTATGTAAATGCATTTTTCTAAACTATTTATGCAGTAAATTGCTTGTGGGTTCATGTCTGTTAACTTGGGGTCCCTACCCTTCCCCCTGATCAGTAGTTCAAAATTATAGATGGCAATGGATAGACATAATAGCTTTGCCATAAATAAATAAAAAAAACACTTTCCACTGAGTGATGTTAACAGATAAAAACTTAAAATACTTAAGACCCCACTGTTACTTAATGATATAAAAACAAATCAGTAATTCATGGGTTAGTTATCCTTCATTTTTATGTTTCCTGTCAGTCTCATATGTTTCGTACACAGATATTTAATTAAGATTGTTTTTGAAAAACTTAATGTAAATGTCAGCCAAACAATTTTGTTTATAGTATTTATTACTGAAAAATAGTTAATTTTTATGTTGTATTTTTGGCTTGAGTGTCAAAATGTTTTATGTGGAAGCAGTGGCATGCAGAGGTTCTGTGATGCCCGGGGCCTTGTACCTAAAACCTTGGGGAAGGGCGGATAGGGTTATACTATTCGATTCGACTCTTGGATATTAAATATTCGCCCCCCCCTCCCTCTCTGCACGCTACTGTGTGGAAGCACAAATTTAGTTTGAGAAATTTAATACTTCATATTTTGAACTTGGTTAGTAGTATTTTTTGTACAACTATTCATGTCCATATAAGTTAATTATTTGAAGGATATGTTTATAGTAGAATGTGTCACATACAAAACTTTTCCTTGAAGAAACTGTAGTATTTTTAAGACATGAGTGAAAGTAAGAGAGAATATGTTATAATATGTCAATCACACAAGATCTATCGTATCCAGTGCCGAAGAGGTCTTAACAACAGAGCTGATCAGGCGGCTGGGATATGACAGATATAATAACTCTTAGGATGTGATTCATATATTGCAAGTAAGTTGCAGTTTATACTTGAGTCATCTACCAATTAGATTTTGGGTAAGAATTAATAAAATAACATTATTTTGACACACAAAATAGGCTTGCACCATATGATATTTTAATTAGAAGTTCCCAGTCTTATTCTATGTACCTAAAAAAAAAAAGTAAAATTACTTAAAAATTGAAACAAATGATACAAAATGCTATTCTTCAACAAAGAAAATATATTATGTGACAGAGAACATTTTAAGGTCTGATGCCAAATGGATTTTTCAGCCAGGGATAATATTCTGGACAATCCCCATTACAAATGTTCATGTACCGTGGCCCTTCAAATGGAGTTTTCTCCTTTTCATATGCACATGCACTTTTAACTAAGCACTTGTTTTCAGATGGTTGCTTCACACATTTTTTCTGTACATACTTACTCAAAGGTGTAGGATTTTTGAAATATTCCAACATTTCTGAAATGGTAACAAGGAATACATCATCTTTTCTCAAAGCCCAGTCAATAAAATCAAGATAACCTAGTTTTCGTTCTTCATCTTTCAACCATGTTTCATGTAAATAGATTGGCATAGGTGAGCGGTTTGTTTGATAGTGCTCATTAAAATTCTTTTGTAGAAATCTTAGGGTATCTCCTCTTGTTTGAGGTTGAGGTGAACAGGCATCAACCATAGAACAAGGTATTTCAATCACACTACCATCTTCAAGTGTTCTGCTTCTGTACTGCATCACCATTGGTACTAACCAGAAGTCACTATATGTTTTGTTAGGACAGGGTGTGATAACACAATCTTGTTCATAGCCAAAGTTCAGTGTGTATGGATACATCTTGTAGAAAGAATCTTTTCCAGAGTATTTTCGAGTTGGCATAGACGAGTCCCACTTGAAATTATTTTCTGTCAGAGCTGTAAAATAGTTATTTCCACTTGTTTGTAGAAAAGGTGCACGCGTCCCAGTTATTTCACTTTCAGGAATATTTGCAAACTTCGATATCATTTTACGCATGTCTACCATCTCATCCTTCCATTCCTGCACAGATGCCTTTTTCCATTCATCAATTTTAGGTGTGTGACTAGAAGATATCAAATACATTCTGATTAAATAAGATTTAAAATCTTTCCAACAATATAGTTTTTTTTTAATGGCATTATTCTCTAGGAGCCAAAAACTACATATAAAAAATCCCACAATTACACTTTTAATGATGGCTTAGGAAAAACTTGAGAATTTTTTAGCAAAACACAGTTGCTTATAAATTATGAACAAGCATATTTTTGGTGAATTTAAATTACATTAGTATTGTTTATGAGCAACTTAAATAAGGAATTTTGTTTTACTGGTTACTATTTTTCAAGTTAAAGTAATGTTTCATTTGAAAATTTTTAATGCTTTAAACGTTTTCCACATGCTATGAATTGCCTAGAGTGAAACATTTTGTCAGGAAAGTACCTAAAGAAAAACCTAACAAATGGTACATTTAAGAATTTAAGTCACCTAATTAAGTAATAAGATAAAGTAGAATATAAAAATAATTTACCTGAAAGCTAGTTTTTCCTCATTTGTTAGCAAACCTATACCAGAAATATTTTCCTTTCTTATTTTATATCTGTGAATTTCACTCATGTATCTAGGTGGGCTAATAGTTTCCTGGTTTATATGTTGTTTTTCTAACCTTAAAACATCTCAGTCTTCATAGAGTGGTCAGGCAGTCTAGTATCCTGTATTATATTTTAACCTATCATTTTCTGCTCTTATATAATATTTTAGTATGTTATAACCATTGAATCTACATTTTGCTGTTTGTGACATTATACCATTTATGTAATTATCATGATATAACAATGTATATTGGATGATCTTTATGTATTGTTATGGTAATTAGCTGATACAAAGATGGTAGTGCCGTTAACTCAAGCCCATTGAGAGGAGGATGGGTGCAAAATGTTTCAATTCATCAACTACTGTATTTTTATTTATTTTTTCTGCCTGGTGTCACTTTTGGTTCCTGAAATGTGAATCATTGTCTCTCACCCTTATGATCTTTATGTAGAAACAAGAATGCAACATTTAAAGTTAATATTTGAACCATCTATAAATACACTATACACTGGCTGTGTTAGTAAACTAGATGTGCTCTATGAAGTTTAATTTCATACTCTGTTGTGTACAGTTATTTTTGATTTGTGTCTTCATCTAAATTTGAGTGCTTTTTTTTTTTGACAAAAAAAGTCAACTGTTACAAACTGTGTAACAATCCGTATATTTTGGTGTATCTGTTACTTTTATTTTGAATAACTATATTAAAATAGTGTTAACTACATATAAGTCCAGGAGTTTCACATTGTTTGGTTTATTACAGTGGAAAGGTGAACTTTTTATTGTGTGAAATTTTTGCATGTTCTTTTTTTTTTCTAAGTGTTTCTTGTTATGGGCAGGTAATGCTAGCTATGCAGACAAAAATATTAGATGTTCTTTAGTCTAACTGGCACATGTTCAGGAAAGTAAACTTTCTAATGAAATTTGTACAGTCAGAAAGAGAAATGCTATATAGTCAGTTTTGCTTGTGCTCCAATTATATATATATAGTAAGGGTGTTACATGTGTGCATGAAATTTAATCTTTTTTAATTAAGAAGTAACCTTCCTTGTGATCACGGTGTAGCTATGAGTACAAGATGATTTTTTTCTTGGTAATTGATCCTTATTCTAACAAGTAAACTTTCCAGTGTCAGCTCTGTAGGTCTATCATAAAAACACATTTACTGGCCTTTTCACTCAGTTTTACACCCTTCTCTTGCAAACACAATCATATTCTCTGTCTACTAAACAGAACCTACAAACTTACATCATCCTATCTAGCCCTTCACAAAGAAATTACTTCCATATGAAAGCATTCTCTTTCGAAACGGCTACCCTATTCATTTGGAGAAAATAACTTCTTCATTCCTAACTAATTTATAAAGTCTTCAAATCGTTTCAGAGAAATCTGTGATTATTCTCTAGACGCCGAAATGGATAATCACACATGGCAGTTGCCCAGCTCATAGCTACAACTTATTGCTTGACAGTATAAGTCGAAACCTCATAAATATTTGAGAATTCATTGAATTCACAACTCTAAGTAGAAAAAACAGCAACTTTTGTTTACAGGCGTTCCTAGTTTGTTTGTTTCAGAATTTCACGCAAAGCTGCACCAGTTCCATCCATGCAAAACTGTTCCTACTTTTGAATTGAGAGAAAGTAGCTAGTAAGCATCACTTACCACCAACTATTAGACCACTCTTTTTTAATCGAGTTGTGAGATTTGGCTGTTATAGTGCATCTACGGCCTAAAGTGCGGAGCGCATTTTTGAGGTAAACGGGTCATGAACTAAGAAGCCTCGTATTCGCAATCCGGGCATACTAATATCTAGGCACGTGCAGCCAATGCTTTCCTTAAACGAGTGAGATTGTATTGTGATGAGTAATTAAAGTACTAAAAGTTACAAGTATCCATGTACTATGTGGATGGTTTAGGACGGATTTAGTTTTTACCTTTTCGTTATCGTAGGGCGATCAACAAGAAAATGCAGTAATGAACTAGCTCGATTTGACATTCATTTAATTCCTTACATATTGTGGTTTTCTAAAGGCCGAGTAGAACAGTTAAGGATAAGATTTTGAGAAGATATTAATGATACATATCTATAATTTAAACTCTACAATGCATAGCGATTATCTAAAAAGCATGTAACATAAAATATTGAATTTTCGAAGTGAAAAGTGAAAAAAATATTTATGATCTTCAGTATAAAAATATATAAAAACGTGAAAGTCCTTGAGAATCTATTATCTATATTTCTGTGTATCCATAGTTTTCTGATATAAAAACAAAACAAATAGACTTACACCTGAAAAAATAAGTCAGCGTTACGTTCTCTAACCTTTTCAACTACTTTATAAAAATAAGTCAGGTTTCATCTGGTTGTGGGCTGGAAAATATTTTTACTGCTCATTTTTTGTAACTTCAAATACAATTTCAAATATACTACTGCAATAAAGATTTGACTATTTCTTGCAAGCAGAAGTACCCGTCCCCAGTGACAGGAAAAGTTTAAGTTAAGCTACTAATTTAAAATATTTCAGGAACTTTAAAAAGGTTAATTGTGTTGAGCTACTTATACCGCCCACAATGAAAAGTTATTGTTGAGCATTTCAGTCACGCTAAGAACCGTTCAACAATAACATGTAGTAAATCTAAGTTTTTATTCCTTAAGTTACGTCACATTTTGAAATGTGAATGATAGTGTGATTAATTCCTAACAATTTAGTGTAGAATATATTGTTTGCGAAATACAGTTTGGCATCAATATTGATCACGTCTGTTCCCCTTTCATTTCAAAAGTGAATGTTGAGTTTTACCTGCGTGTGCAACTTTTCAAAGATATTGCGGAAGCGGCCGCAGTAAACGGGAAACAGACGAACGCTCGGACAGACACCACGATTCACAATATATACAAGTTAAAGAATGATGTTCCGGGTCACATACTGTCCTCGGAACCATTTCCTCTATCGTTGATGGTGCTTAGTTTGATGGCCATGATTACATATTATTGTGTGACATCACAATTTCCATTGTAGAAAGTTTTTATTAAAGATTGTGAGATGAGGCTAACTTTAGATCATACGTCTTGATAAACTTATCATAGAGCCTCCTGTGCATGTGGAATATGGATGTCAGCTTCTAGGTTTAATGATTTCCCTTTCAGTAATGAGGTAGATTCTGCAAGATAAAACGAAGTTCGAAATAATATGTATTGCAGAGTTAAAATGAATTCTCTTGGTATTTACAGTGTTGTGAGAAACAAAAGACCGGGCACAATGGATACAACGTAAACCACTGTGAAAACAATCTTTATTCAATTCACAAAACAATAAAAAATAAAGAGTTTAAGACAAAGTACAACGCATTTATGATAGGGTAAAAGCTTTAAGGAATATGCAGACTCTGTAAGTCTGTTGAAAGTCAGATAAAAATCTATCCCAGACTGAGAAAACATAACATTATATATATATATATATACACAGTTCAACAATACTATTCATTTTAGGTCGCTTGCTCTACTACATCACTATTGGTCCTTCCAATCGAAAACATAAGGAATGACTTCTTTTCAACGTGTTACTTGACCTGTCACTAGAAAATATCCTGTCTACTTTTACATAGTGCATTCTACTTTTAGGGTCTGGCATGGTCTGGTGATTAGGGCACGTGACTCGCATTCTACATATGGCGGGATTGAGCTCTGTCACTCAACATGCTCGTCCTATCGGCCATTGGGGCATTATAATGTTATGATCAATCCCACTATTCATTGGTAAAGAGTAGTGTTGAATAGCTGCTAGTCTATTACTTTAATATTAGGGACGACTAGTGCAGATAAGCTTTGAGCACTCTTTTCCAGGAAAAACTGCACGGGATGCCAGTAGTAACTTAGGTGAAAGGAACTTAATCACTTCCCTGACCAGTGTTCTACTCTAAATCTACATACACTTTTATGCATTAAAAGTTTGATAACAAAATTTAAGGTAAACATTAATCATTCATGATAAAGCAAAACACGAATATGATAATAGGTTTGTTTATTTGTCTGTTTTTTGAATTTCGCGTAAAGTTACACGAGGGCTATCTGCGCTAGCCGTCCCTAATTTAGCAGTGAAAGACTAGAGGGAAGGCAGCTAGTCATCACCACCCACCGCCAATTTTTAGGCTACTCTTTTACTTACGAATAGTGGGATTTACCGTCACATTATAACGGCCCCACGGCTGAAAGGGCGAGCATGTTTGGTGGGACAGGAATTCGAACTCGCGACCCTCAGATTACGAGTCAAGCTCCCTAACCACCTGGCCATGCCGGGCCGTAATAATAGGAAGCATTTATTAAAGTTTCGGAATCATCATAATTCCATCATCAGTAATCTAGAGGTACAAGACAAACAAACAATATTTATAATTACAAGAGAAATGTGATATACATAAGAAATAAACAATTTGAATATACAAAGTATAAAAAGAGGAAATAAACAATTTAGCACAAATGAAATAGTTAGATTACAATAGGTTTAAAT